TAGAACAGAAGGCAACCAGGTCAAGCTGCAGCAAATTCCAGTGCATATTTACTAGACTCTGGATGAATGTGGGATTAATTTGCAGGCATCTCGTTAGATGCTTTCTGGCACAAGCCTGCATTTGCACACACTCTTACAATGCAGCATGCTGAAGCTTGTACATTGTTGTAAAGAATTGTCTGTGAACTAGACATGGTCCATTTTGAGGAGGGCAAGGTGAGAGAGCAGAGTAATTGTCTTCCTGGTTGTCCTGATCTTGTTTAAAAAGAAAAAAAGCTCCAAAAGCTTGTAAAGATGGTTTCTTACTAGATTACAAGTATGGGTAGCTGGGCCTAAAACATACTCCATGATGCTGTCTGAAGACTTCAGCCAAAGTCAGTGCTAAACCTCAGCTGAGATTGAGCCCCACAGGCAAAGGATACTGCTGTACAAATCAGGCTTGATCAGAAGGCCAGGATGATGGCACTTACATCTTAGTTGAAACCATGGGGAATTTATACTGCCTGTTGAGTCACAGGTCTTACTTTATAACATTCTGAAGCTTAACAGCCAACAGTCCTTGACAGAAATACTGGGTGGAAGACAATACCCTTCTCTTGAGAAAGCCCTAGTTGGTTAGAGTGCTAGAGGCCTTTAAACAGAGCATTTGCAGAGTGGCAACATTTTACAGAGTTATACCAGAAGTTGTGCAACTGTATGAAAAAGAACAGATGAAGAGTGGCATACACTGCAAATAAGTGGAAATCAAGTAGGAGCATGGAACATAAGCATGAACACAGGAAAGCTCACCACATCGAAAGATGAAGTGAAACAACTACAAATTGATATCTTAGGCACCAGCAAATTGAGGTGGACCAGGATGGAATGCCAGAAGATCACACCATTTATTACTCATGACATGAAAAATGAAGAAATGGTGTTGCTTTTATAGTTAGGAAGGGTATAGCAAGAACAGTACTTGGCTACAATACAATCAATGACCATATAATATTGATTAGCTATCATGGACAACCTTTAATATGACAATCATTCAAGTTATGTTCCAACCAAAATTATATCTAATTTTTAAAATACCTTGTTTTTCAATATTTTTCCTTACTTGAATCCTTTCTTATGTCTATTATTAGTGAACACACCATTCTCATGGATATATATTACCTGAATACATTGGATGCAGGAGGCCCAGAGTTAAAATGAGGTTTCTGTTCTAAGACTGAAATTCAAACTTTTAATTATCAAGCTCTGCCATAGAAAGGTCTGTGTAAAATATAATGGAAGATTGATGACTGAAATTAAATAAGGACACGTTATAATCAGAAATTGGCTCAAGAATCTTATATACAACATATTGAAGGCATCCATCATGTGCTGGTGAATGCTATTAAAGGTTCTTAGCCATGAGGGGTGAAGCAACTATTTGGTTTGGATTTTTTTTTTTTTTTAAGAAAAAAGAGAGAAAAGGAATACTCAAAAAGAAAAAAGTTGGTGAAAAGGAATTGATAGTAAGTTGTTTCTGGTTCTACCTTTCCAAACCTCATCTACCATTCAGAGCCTTCACCGTCTCTTCCTCCCTGGATCCAATTCAATTCCACAATTGCATTAATTATTAACCATTCGTCTGTTTTTATTATATATCACTATATTCACCGTTTTTCCAAACCACTAAAAAAGTTGTAGTTGTTACTTTATTTGAGTTATAACACACCTTCCTATTCTGGCACGTATTTAAATCAGCTGAAAAAAATTGAAACCTAAAAGCATAATATGAAAACTTAGAAATGCAATTAAACTTAGCAAAAACAAATTTAAATCTAACAAGTCTGGCAAAAAGTCTTTTCAGATTTCCTAAACTCCATTGAGAGTGGGGACTATATTTGCTTCCAAAGGAATTACATTATTTCTTCCACATGTTAAACAGATGGGCTTGTGACACAAGGGGAATCTTTGAAAGGTCTTCCCCTGCAGATTTTAACACTGTACAGCTTCCAGTTGGTAGAGGCAGTCCATTACATACTAAGGCCCCAAGGATGTACCTGACCCATTTAATCAGCCACAAAGGATAAGGGCAAGTAAGCAAGAAAAAGCCATCATCTTTCCACAGATCCTATCCACATCCTTGAATTCTTCAAATCCAAAAGAATCAAAACTAATAGGACAAGTTACAAACCTAGGATATGCCCTAATGCTGGAGTCTGAGTCAAGGCAGATCTGATTGACTTTGTCTGCACAGGTTGATGTAAATTGTTTTATAGTGAGTCCTGAGTGTTCTTGTTCCCTTCCTCTCACATTTTGGCATAGGAGATGATGCATAGTGTGGAAAAGTGTGAAGAATGTCTAGTTCCTTGAAGTTACCAACAAGATCCTTTCTGGCTTCTATAAAGAAAGGCTTGTACCATCAGCTTTACCAGGATACTGTAGCCCTTTCAAAACTGACATGTATGCACTCCTGAATGAAGTTCTGGTTTGTGGTTTTTTCAGAGATGTTGTACTGAAAAAGAAATGGTCTGATTCCCCCACAGGATTATTCAAGTGCAGATAAATTTTTCTGATAAAGGGAGATTTGAGGGAAGTATATAAAGTCATACAGGATGTGAAAAATAAAAACAGTAAATTAGATTCCATGATCATCCACTGTAACAGAATGGAGTATACAGGTAGTCCTCACTTAACAATGGTAATTGGGATTGAAATTTCCATTGCTAAGCGATGCAGTCGTAAAGTGCAACATCATGTGGCCATGCCACTTAGCAACTGCAGTTCCAGCAGTTCTGGTTGCTGTCATTAAGTGAATCCCATGCCATCATTAATGGTGACGTCACATGGTCGCCATTTGCAACCTTCTGCCAGCTTTTCCATTGACTTTGCTTGTTGGAAGCCAGTAGTGAAGATTGCAAATGGTGATCACGTGACCGTGGGACTCTGCAACGTCATAATTGCAAGCCGGTCGCCAAGTGCCTGAATCATGGTCACATGATCATGAGAACAGTGTGATGGCCTCAACTATGAGAACCTGTCGTAAGTATCATTTCTTCAGCGTCATCATAAGTTTGAACAGTGAGGACTACCTGAATGTTCTTTTACAATGCTTTGAATTGCTGAGCATTATGAGCAATCCAGGTTCCCCATTGGTAGAAACACCTCACCCTGCCTCCCAGCTCCTGGACTCAAGGCAACCATTGCTCCACCCTGACCGCCCCCGCCCCCATACCAGCTTCAGCTTAAAACATATTTCCAGGGAACTTTTATTTCAAGGCACTTGCTAAGAATCAGAAACAAAACCAAGCAGCAACTTGGTACTTTGTACCTGCTGGTTGCCTTGTCAAAGAGAAGGAAAACAAACTGAACTGTTGCCAATTTCACTCCTATGCCAATTTCTCTCCTATTGTTGTGACACACTTTGGAATAGTTGCAAAAAAGTGCAGGAGGTCAACACAACACAGTTTTAGCGGTTCTTCCCATTCCTGCCACTGGAACAGCAAACCATGGTTAGACCTACTATGAAAAGTAGTTGCCAAAAGGCCAGCATTGTGTCCTTGTGGATTTACAGATCACTGGCTTTTTAATAGTAAAAGAAGGAAAGGTGTCTGCATTTGGGTGGGTTCCCTACCAAGTTTCCTACTCAGAGACAATTACTCCAGGAACTGCAAAAATTCAAGGAAGAGGTGCCAATTGAATGTTTTGTTGTTGCTGTTTTGTTGTTGTTATTGTTTCCATTTCTGCACTGATCAGCTGGAAAAAGCACTGATGGTCTCATGGTGCTGTCAGTTAATCTAGCACAGTGTTTTTCAAACTTGCAACTTTAAGATGTGTGGCCTTCAACTCCCAGAATTCCCCAGCCAGCATGTGGAATTCTAACACAAGGAAACTGTTAAATTCAAAATGAATGCATGCAGCGTTAAGGCACCAGAACTCCATTTTATTCTTATAGCCATGATTTCACGGAATTTAAAATATGAAATAGAATATGCTGATAGAACTATGAAGAACTCTGACTTTACCATGTGAAGTCTGTAACTAAAAAGATTGTTTTGCTCTGTTGGAAATATTGTGTTATTCCTAATTTTTAAAAACCTTGAATTGAAGATATGTGTTCATTCTCCATATATATTGCAACTTTTTAAGTGACATAGTCGGAAGTGTGATCAATATTGTTTTGTGTGGTCAAGGTTTAATTTTGTGTTTAAGAAATGAGCTTTTAGTTTAACTCTTTCATGTGTATTTTTGTAATCTTTTTTGGTTTTTTGGTTTTTGTCTGCTTCTGGTTTATATATGTGTGTGTTTAGTTAATACCTTTTTTCCCTATGTTTCATTTTAAAATGATAAAATTTGCATTTTCATCAGGGCTAGCAAATCAGGTTTCTGTGTATGTGATTATGCTCTTTTTATTTCTATTTTAGTCTATAATATCAAGAATGTTAAGTATTAATTAGTAGTGATTGAAATAGCACACAGGAGAAATGTTAGCTTGGGCTTCACAATTGAAGTAATAGGCATGAAAGAGAACAATCATAATCCCATTAAATTCAGGTTCTAAGATTAACTAGCTGCCCCACAGAATGCAGAGACTACTTTAATAGCAAATGTTTTCCTTTCTTTTACTAGAGTAGAATAGGCTCTATTGTTCCATTGGCTTTCATGGCTATGAAGCAGACCGCCAGGAAGGAATACAATAAATTTATGAATCGGCTGGAGAGAAATCAGCTGAAATATCCATAGTTTTGCACTTAATGTAGGATGTCCATAGTAGCATATTTCTTCTAAGCATGAAAGAAATTTTATTCTCTGGCTCATAAGAATTATGACTGCAGTCATATGTGCAGTTCCCTTGAACTCAGCTGAATTTATACAGAGGATTGTACTGTATGTCTCTGTAGACTTCCAAACGTGAAGCCTCTACTTGACAGGAATGTGGAAGACAGGCTGCAAAGAAGTTGTTAAATGTACATACTCACCACTTGAGGAGATTCTCAGGAAACCTCAAATCCCAGCTGATTCCAAGAAAGCCAAGGGCCTAAGCATCTGCCAGCCTCTCCCTGTTCCCCAGAGCACTTGGTGTCAAGGCATGCCCTCTGCGGTGACAGATTACTGGTGAGTGTCATTCACAACCACACAGCACAGATGAAGTGCTTACCTTGCAAAGGGGAGAATGCTGTGGTTATGAACTTTGCACATGGATCAAAGTTTAGTTGAATTACCAGGTTCTTCATCCCCATGCATTCATCCTGCACCTGGTATCATCCCCACAACTGGACAAGCTACCTCCTCCACCAACACATAAAGCTTTTTCCTCACATAGCCTTTTGGCCAGAGGTATGCACAAAATCTGACGGTTTCGTCAGAAGCATATGTGCACGCGATGTCACAATGCATTTACAAAAGCAGCAGAACTTGCATCACAATGTAACAATGCTCATTTTATCATTTTCCTCTCTTGCCCCCTCTTCAAGCCCATACTTTCAGAATTGGGAAAACAGCGCATGAACGTAGCTCCCTTCAGTCCAACTGCTGAACCACTATATCACACTGTGGTGAATCAACAACTTAAACTATTACTGTTATTATACTACAGGTTCAAATTAAGTCACTGATTTTGTGGGAGAAGTGGGGATCTATGTTCTGAGTGGGATGCAGAATAAACTACTTTAGTTGAATATCTACAGAGACCATTACTTTGGACCTCCAGTTGCTCAGACACTTTTTGATCCACCAACCCAAAATAATATCTCAACCCCAGGCATTGTTACTGTGATACAAAGCATGCATGCACAGAGTAAAGATGGGTGGGAAACCTCTAATGATGGGATGGGACTAAAACTTTTCATTCTCTTTTGCTTTTCCTACCTTCCATTGCTTTGAGACAATGGTTTTCTCCCTGTCATTTCTATTCTGGTCTTGGAGCAAGGTTGGGAAAGATTATTTGAGACAATGGTTGTTGCTCATAAGACAAGTGTGTTCATTTGCTCATTACTCCTATATTACTTTTAAGCTATATTCATGCATAGTACTAAAGCTAGATGTTTTAATCTATGGCTTGTGTATACATCAAGCTAAGCCAAAAATATCTCAACCATATATCTTATATATGTACCATGCAAAAACTGAATGGCACTTTATAGCTAAACAATTAGCATGTTTGAAATTATTACTTTATTTTACTTTTTCATATTAATTAAAATAGTAAAAAATACAGTAATTGAAAAGAAAAACGGTAGCATGTTGGATCACAATCAAAGCAAAATCAAGTGCTTTGAGAAACTGGGGCCAAACGTGCAAATCCTATGTTAGATCCTATTGGCCCAACCTAGTGAAAACTCTGTTTCATTTTGTATATTTTGTAGTTGTCTCACTTTTAAAAACCATACCCTACTTTGCTCTGGAAGGTAGGGAAATGCCCAATCAGTGGAAATTCTCTGCAGCATGCTGAGGAGACGTAACCTTCTCACCACACTTCTGATTGCTTTGCCATGGGGTCTTCTCCTAACTTTGTGGCATCAATATCCAACCACCCGCTATCTCAGCCTTCTAAGAAGTAAGTACACAAATCCTGGCTTACAAAAGGGTTTGCAACATTCTTTCGTAACAAATCTTTTGCAAAAAAAAAAAAAAAAGGTAGACAGTTACATAAAAGTCAGGATATTTTAAAAATAATGTTTATATAATTCTCTAAAGATTAAGTCAGGCGCAAGTCATAAGTGATTTGTGTTGGAGGTGGGAATTCAGGAGTCCTTGTTAGAGAATATGCTCCTAAACCCAAGCAGAGTGTTGAAAGAATACTGAGTAATTAAGTAGTAAAACATCTCATTTTTTAAAAAATGCTCTTAACCAAAAAGAGAATAATTGTCTTGGAGTAGAGTATAACCCAGATATCAGTAAATGCTAACAGACATTAATTGTACTTGTATAAAAGCTAGATTTATTAAGAAGTACATGAAAATAGAAAATACATACTTTTATCTAAATTACATCTTGAAGACAGGAAAGGTTGTGATGAAGTCTGAAGCATGAAAGAAAGAGAAGATTCCATATCTCTTAAAAACAGAGATTCTTTTAACTAACAGTAGTCTGGGTGAGAAACAGCACAGACTCCTTTTTTCTCATCTATTTCTTGCCCTTTGCCCTTGTGGTGAAATAGACTCATCAGGCTCTTGCTGGGTGTGTTTTTGCTACTTTTGTTTTTGTGTATACATAGTGGCCAAATCCCATCTTGTTTTGGTTTGTATTGGATTTTTATAGGAATAGATTGCAAACAACCCAGAATCAGTTGGAACTGGATAGTGCCTAAACTGAATTGGACAGACAGATACAAAGGGATATACCATCTCCAACCGTTTGCTATTATCTTATCCCTTGATACTTTTTTTTCCTGTTTCCAGGCTAGCTAGCAGCTTTGGAATTTCCTAGCTGTCTTCACTCTAGGTACTAAGTTCAACCCACCTAACTTTTCTGAGATCAGTCAAGTTCAGCTAGGTGTTGTTCCCTGGTCAGATCTAATTTACTATTAGTCTATAATATATAGCCATGGTAAGACCGCTTTTCTTTTTGATCATGTGTAGCCCATGCTCAGTGATAATTGGCAATTTATATGAATCAACTTGTTTTCACTTCCTCAGAGGCTCTAGCCCAGTGTTTCTCAACCTCAGCAACTTTAAGATGGGTGGACTTTAACTCCCAGAATTCCCCACCCATCTTAAAGTTGCTGAGGTTGAGAAACACTGCTCTAGCTCTTTTCACTCTTCATATTAGACTATTATTTACTTTCCCTTCTACAGGCAAGTCCCCAGTTTAAATGCTCCATTTCTGAACCATTTGCACAAGGTGACTTCCATGTAGGTCAGCTGGCACTTTTGCACATGCACAAACAGCTAGCCAATGCATTTAACTTTCCTTTCGTAAAGTCCAGATCACTTGACACATTATGCAATATGGAGACCATGTTTAAGACATTGCTGTCTCCCTCTTCCTTCCTATACAATAAGCTGGAGAAAGAGTTGGCTCTTGCCAGACGTCTGAGCTGATCCCATGAAGTGGTCTTTTTTAGACTGAGAGCCAGAGTTTTGAAGTCCCACATTTCTAATATATACGCTGCAGTACAAATTGCTAACATGCTAGCAAGGTTATGCTCAAAATCCTACAAGCTAGGCTTCAGCAATACATGAACCGAGAACTACCGGATGTACAAGCTGGGTTTCTGTATGCGGGCCAAGAAGCAACAGTTAGAACCGGTCATGGAACAACCGATTGGTTCAAAATAGGGAAAGGTGTACGACAAGGCTGTATACTGTCACTCTGTATGCGGGCCAAGAAGCAACAGTTAGAACCGGTCATGGAACAACCGATTGGTTCAAAATAGGGAAAGGTGTACGACAAGGCTGTATACTGTCACTCTGTATGCGGGCCAAGAAGCAACAGTTAGAACCGGTCATGGAACAACCGATTGGTTCAAAATAGGGAAAGGTGTACGACAAGGCTGTATACTGTCACTCTGTATGCGGGCCAAGAAGCAACAGTTAGAACCGGTCATGGAACAACCGATTGGTTCAAAATAGGGAAAGGTGTACGACAAGGCTGTATACTGTCACTCTGTATGCGGGCCAAGAAGCAACAGTTAGAACCGGTCATGGAACAACCGATTGGTTCAAAATAGGGAAAGGTGTACGACAAGGCTGTATACTGTCACTCTGTATGCGGGCCAAGAAGCAACAGTTAGAACCGGTCATGGAACAACCGATTGGTTCAAAATAGGGAAAGGTGTACGACAAGGCTGTATACTGTCACAGGCAGTGAAGGACAGGAAGGCCTGGCGCAATATGGTTCATGGGGTCACGAAGAGTCGGACACGACTTAACGACTAAACAACAACAAATTGCTATCCAGATATATTTTTAATTTCTAATTTTCCTACAGCAGAGGAATACATAGCCAATGCCAGAGCCCAGCTTTTGGTTAGATTCTGTTTCCATCACCCTAGCCAGCATAGAGCACCATGTGGGTGTTTTGCTTTCAAAGGTGAAAGCAGGATGAATCTTAGGACATAAAAAGAAACTAAATTGGAATTATAAAGGTAGCAAGAACTCCCACAGCAGCAGGATGGTCCAAAGAATTTCTGGGTTGCATAATGGCAACACTAATATGTTATAACTCATCAGTGTTCAGAATATCTTCCTCCCATACACAACAGTCAGTATGACCTCACAGTGCACCCACTGAAAGAAAATTAAGCACTCTCCTGGATATTGCTTCCATGATTCATAGTTGCAAACTCTTAACAAGAATATTGTTATTACAATGAATATTTGGGCTTGATGCATATCCTATTTTTACCTTTTTGGGGTGTTCTCTTTTTTATTTAGCTTTTCCTTTATATTTTTAAAAAAGATGGTCCAAGATATGATAGGGAAATAGAATCCCAGTATAAAATCAGAAACAAATGATATAAACTCAGAGAAGTATTTTAAAGGATGACTTATGCTTTATTCTCTTTTTTCGTTTTGCCTTAGAGGAAACAGATGAAAATGGTACAACCAAATCGCTCTTCAATGGCACATCTCTAGTGAGGGAGGATGGGTTTGCATCATGCACTCGGCAGCCAGCCACTGGGACAGCTCCCAAAATAATCCGGAGCTATGTGTACTCCAGGCCTCCCCCGTGGTCAGACACATTGCCTGCCATATTTGTGATCACACCTACCTACACTCGACCAGTACAGAAGGCTGAGCTGACACGACTGGCCAATACTTTCCTTCATGTACAGAATCTCCACTGGGTAGTGGTGGAGGACTCTCCTAGAAGAACCAATCTAGTGTCCAATCTGCTGGAGAAATCAGGGATTCATTTTACTCACCTGAATATTGAGACTCCTAAGAGTCTGAAAGTAGGTTTGTCCTGGATTCCATCTCACACTCCCAGGGGCACGTTCCAGAGGAACCTTGGACTGCATTGGCTTAGGGAAAGTTTTAGCACCACGCCACCACCTGAAGGTGTAGTATACTTTGCAGATGATGATAACACCTATAGCCTGGAGCTATTTGAAGAGGTACGTTACTCAAAGTTGTGATGACTTCACCTTTGATCCATGATTCAGACACATTAATAATTACTTTCTGCTATCCTTTATTCTTTTGATACACAACATTTTGGTGGGTGGTTAGGGAGGTCTACCAAGAAAGGATGAAGGTCAGTGGAAATGTTCGTGCTTTGCATATAAAATATTAGAATTTCAGTCTCTGGTATTTCAGATTAAGAAATTTCAGATTAAGAAGTTTCTCAGTGAAACCCTGAGTAGCTACTGTACTGAATGTAGATTAGCCTTTCCCAGCCAGGTGCCCTATTACTTGTGCTGGACTATCATTGTCAAAGTTCCCAGCCAATATGACATCCAATGAGTGAAAATGAAATAGAAGGCCCATAGATGATTTGGTTAACTGCCACTATAACCTACCATTAACTACAGCTAGATGAGTGAGGATATGAGAAGGAGGGTTGGGGTTATAGTTGTGGCTCTGAAACAGGGACAGGAGTTTTTGGACGCAAACAGGACATTTGCCTGGCATATCTAAAACTACTCCAGACCCTGTTACTCCTTGTATGTGTGCAGCAAATGCAGATAGAACTCTCTCAGGAAAGATTGCTCAGAAGGGCAAGATAGAAAGTTTGGTATGGAAGAGTGAACAAAACTTGGTATGGAAGAGTGAACAAAACAAAACATTAAAAAATAATGAACATATGATAAACATATAACTATTGCAAGGGTACACATAGAGAAAGGTGGAGAAATCCCAGGAGGGGCCCATAGTATATAATAAAAATATTGGAAATACTCATTTATTCATGTATGCTCATTTTCTTTCTGACAAGCAGATGCGCTATACAAAGAAGGTATCTGTCTGGCCAGTTGCTTTTGTTGGTGGTCTTAGGTACGAATCCCCCAAAGTGAGCCCAGCAGGCAAAGTTGTAGGTTGGAAGACTGTGTTTGATCCTAACCGACCTTTCGCCATTGACATGGCTGGCTTTGCCATCAGCATCAAACTGATTTTGGAGAAACCTCAGGCCAGTTTCAAGTTGGATGGAGTGAAAGGAGGCTACCAAGAAACTAGTTTGTTGAAGGATCTGGTGACAATGGATGGACTAGAGCCTAAAGCTGCCAACTGCACAAAGGTTAGCAAGGATGGAAAAAATTCACAATAATCTCCCCCACCCAATGCCCATTACTCCCATGCTTATCTTGTATAATTATATGCACATGCATATGTATGTGTAGTCTACTATTTTTCAGCTAAGAACAGCAGATGGTTTAATCAAGTACTGGACACCATGAATTTTGCTGGAAAAAGAGTTCTGAAACTAAGGGGTAAAGATAGAATAAGGGATAAATGAACCACCTTCTGTCACAGTTATCCTTTTAGGGTGTTTAGAGTTAAATCTTAGGACATTTACATCTACCTAGACATCTGTATGAGCATCTGCAAAGAGAGGGCAAATGATGACATGTTGGATGATGTCATCACATAAATGCCATGACTTATGCCCTGTGTCAGATGTGACACAAGTATGTAACTGGCATTTGCATGATGCCACATCATCATCATAATTTTGACATCATGGTTTGTTACAGACATTACTGTTATAATAGCAGCTTCAGGAGTAAAAAAAAAAATCAAATATTTATCCAGATAAACTTCTCTAAATTAAGCCAGACGCTGCATTATCCCCTCAGTCCATCTATACAAAGCCACAAATGTTCTACTGGCAGAGGGTAGGTGCCTTGAGAAATGATGTCCTGTACATAATATCAGATTATTCAAGTAAGTGTTAACAGTAACATGCACCAATGGAAGGCCATAAAAGAAAAATAGATGGACATAGAAACTACACGGTGCAGGCTTATTTGAATAAGGCTGCTTCTTTTATCCATCCACTCAGATCAGCTAGATATTAAGTCATCGTGTTAATTCCTATACTGATTCCTCAGCTATGGTTGTATTACAAAGCCCATTTTCCTTGACTATTGGGTTTTCTGAGGATAATAGGATTTGTAGTCCAGCAATGATGACAATCCCAAAGTCAAGAATGGCTGATGTTTAAGAATGATGAAGTAAGAACTGGAGGAAGGAATATATAAAAATAAATTATAATCCCCTCTATGGAGATGGAGAGCCAAATGACCAGATCTAGATATGTTAAAATATTGGAGCTTTCTTTATATAAACAGCTATCACTTTTGTCCTTATGGAAAAAGGGAAGCAACCAGACAATAAAGGAAGAGATTTAGCACTTTAGTACACATGCAATTAACATATAAAACACAAAAATATGTGTGTAGCAATCTTAGAGTTAGTATTTTTTTAAAAAAATTATAACTTAGTATATGGCTATGAGATCTGGGGTACAAAAATCCAGATGACTTTTCTGAATCTATCTGCTGTCATCTGAAGGTCATGCAGATTTTTGCAGCTCACACTTGGTTACCTTCTATGGGGCCATGGGCAGATTTTTTTCAAGATAACTAGATAGACAAATGATCAATCATAGCAAAAGAAATACTGTATTCTTGATCCAGAACAAATATCTTTCTGCAGATTTTTAAAATTTAAATTGTTGCAAATGACAGATGTGTAGTTAGGCCAATGTGAACCTGTGTGCCCAATTTCTACCCTCATCCCTAACCCCATCTGTAGCCTTTGTCCTCTGTCAAAATGAGTCAATCTTACCTATTTTGAAGTCCCCTGAATGTAATGCAGCCACATTCCCCCCTCCCCCCGCCATTCAATGAATTTAGCATTTGTAGGAATAAATGTTTTGTTGTTTTTATGGCATACTGCTGTATCTATAATGAGTCTAAAAATAAACCAGGTAAGTGTGTAATTATGTAAATATACCCTTCCAAGAAGGCTTGCAACTTCTTTTGAGTCCTATTCAGAGATTTTATGTGCATAAACATATGTGTACTTATGCATCAGGCAGTTTGCTAATACCTACTACATGCTCAGTTATATAATTTTAATAAAATGCACATTTTTCCTGATAGGTTTTGGTCTGGCACACAAGGACTGAAAGGCCAACACTGGTTAACGAGGGCAAACGTGGATTCACAGACCTAAGGGTAGAGGTGTAGATAATTTGCTTTTTGCTGTAAGTACAAGATTTTTGCTGACACCCAAGATTTTCCTATAATCTTGCATATTGCTCTTCAAATATCTTAAATGTAAGGTGCATTTAATATGCATCAAGGATGAGTTATTTGTCTATGTTAAAAGATAAAGGTGACTTAAGGCTGTTAGGGTCTGTTTAGGAAGAAATAAACTGTGATTAAATCCAAGCAAGACAGTGTTTGTATATTTATATTTATTATTTTAATTGTATTATTTATTATTTGTTTATTTAATCACATGTTATTTAATCACATTTATATAGCCATCCATCTCACATAGTGACTTTGGGTGGTGTACATAATAATAATCAAAATATATAAAAATCATTAAAACAACCAGTTTAAATTAAAAAATATAAACAAGTAAAACACAAAATGGTGGCAAAAAGATACTGAGAGTGTATTCCATTAATTGCCATACAGCCATCTAGCAGGCTTCACTCTATCATGGGATCCCCAAGCTAGTTGACGGAGTTATTAGTTATTTAGTTATTTCCTCACTTTATATAGCCACCCATCTCACTTTTACATGACTCTATTTGTTGCTATTTGTCCACTGAAGTTTCTGTCAACTCAGTGTTGTCTTTTCAGCACTGGCACTGTCTCTGAAGAGCAGGCTCATGACTTGAGAGTCCTTCTGGTCTCATGGCTATTGCTTAATGGGCGAGTAGAAGCCATAGTTAGGAAGTGCTTTGCCCAGCTATAACTGGCCCACCAGTTACAGCCTCACCTGCAACAGGAGGGTCTTCCAGCAGTGATTCATACTTATCCCTACCCAGCTGCAGTGCACTCCACATGGGGCTGCCATTAAACACTGCTTAGAAATTGCAGATGATACAAAAAACAGTGACCTGTGTGTTAAATAGCACAAGATGCCGTGAGTATATGGCCCCTGTGCTGCAAGTCCAATTGGTGTCTAGGTGCAATTTGAAGTACTGTTTTTGACCTATAAAGCCCTACATGACTTGGTTCCATGATACGTCCAGGACCCCATTTTTCAGCTAGAATTGACTCATTTGATATGATTATCCCAGGAGAAATTGCTTACAGGTAGTCCTCAGGTTATGATGGCCAGGAAATCCATCACTAAGTGACACGGTTGTAAAGTGCGACATCACATGACCTTGCCACTTAGCGATGGCAATTCCAGCAGTCCCGGTTGCTGTCATTAAACAAGGACTGCATGGGTCATTAAGCAAGAATCTCATGTGATCCCAGCTTCTTGCCAGCTTCCCCACTGACTTTCTTTGTGGGAAGCTGGAAAGGAACATCAGAAATCATGATCACGTGACCATGGCTCACTGCAGTGTCATAATCGCAAACAGGGCGTCAAGTACCCAGCTCACAATCACATGACTGCAGTGATGCTGCAACAATACAAACTGTAAGGACTGTTGTAAGTCCCTCTTGTTTAACGCCATTATAAATCTGAACAAATGGCCGTAACTAAAGACTACCTGTATATTCCTCCATAATTGGGAAATTAGGGGGATAAAGCCTAGGAGGAACTGCTTTGAATGATCTTTCCCACATTATGGAATTATCTCCCCTAGGAAATTAGACTTGTCCTGACTTAGCATTTTGGAAGTAGGTTAAAATGGAGTTTTTCCAGAGGTCTATATAATTATATATTTCTTTTTAGATTATTTTTGTTAAATTGTTTTTAACCTTTTTTTACTACTATTTTTATATATATACATGCTAGAAGTAGCTACTGAGTTCAGCAGTATAAAAATCTAATAAAGAAATAAATGTGGCCTCAAAGTGCTGATGATGGACCATAATGAAAGGGCTGTTGCTTAGCTGTACAACATTTATTTTGTTTGCAGATCAAAAAGTGTTAGACTTTTTCTATCTCTCCTGCCACTTTAGATAATACTGACATAGAGAGACCATGTGGAATCCTTGGTGCTCTCTGAGCTTGGTTGTTTGCTTGCAGATGTTTCATTACCCAACTAGATAACATCATCAATGCTACTGAGTGTGGGGTTTGCTGCCTGTTTATATGCAGTAGCTTGCCCTGCCAGTGTTGGTGGGGATGTAGTTTTCTCCTTGGTAGTCCCTTGATTAGGGTATTGTTTCCTGTTTGATTGTTTGCTGGTGTTAATCCCTTATCTGGGTGTTGGCTGCTGGAGAGGAGGTGTTCTGGTCTTTTTGTTTCCTTCTTAGCTTTTTTGTCTCTTTCAAATGGTGTGTAAATATGGTTTATTTCTATGTGTCTATTGATGGCT